AGGAAGATTATTACACTATTATATAAGACAGAATTATTTTACAACTAGACTGGGCCAGCCCTATGCTTGTTTCTGGGGTTGCCAGTCTAGTACTGGTTCTTTTACTTACTAATGTGAAACATTAGGAAAATATAATCACAAACAATGGGCACAGTCAGATACTCCATCTTTGTAGGTGCTAAGTGATACAAGGCTAGAGGATAGAAGACCAAATTCGGCAACAAAATTAGTACTTAAAAACATTCTGGTATTTGATTAAAAGAAATAATTCAACAATTATACCATTCTGGAAAGAACTGTGACCTCCAGATAAACAAGAGGAGAAACAAAATGGACCCATGCTTAAATTCATTTTGCTACATAACCATACCAAAAAGGACTATTATTAAAACTTAATATGAAAAAGGAATAGGATAGAAAGATGATCTCTCACGGAGGTTACAACTATCAAGATTTTTGCTTGAAGCTATACAGATAGATAGATAGATCTAGCTGATAGATTATATATCATTAGTGGTATCATCTATTAGGCACATACATAAGACTGTTACACTACTAGAGTTATACCCATAAAATTAAAAAAGAGAGGCACAGATATAAAATTACCATACAAATACCTGACAACTGTGTTGGTGATGTTTCACCACCTGTTTAAGAAGGGTTATGAATTGGGGGAGGGAAGCTATGACTGGAACAGAGAATGCTTTCTGTGGTAGAAATTAACTCACATCAGGGGTGAATCCAGACTACACAGAATCAAATAAGTCACAGTTATTTAAAATCTTTTAGAACCCTAGAGAGCAACTTTTTATATTTAGAATACTTAAAAATTTTTTCAGGAAGTCTGCATTTCTAGTATTCTGAATCTTATAACTAGGATTCTATACATTTTGGCAAATCATATGAGTGATACAGTCAGACACATGAATGGCTAAAATTCTGATAGTTGTTAAGTGGAAAATGCAGTGCATCACAAAGGATCACACTGAACTGACCTATAAAGGAATTTAAAATGCATAAATTAAAACATTTAATAGCTTTTGTGCATTTTGCTAATAGGGCAGGATTTAAATACAGAGCACTAATAAACAGACCATCTTGGAAGTTTTTGTTTGAAATAATGCAAGCAATATGAGATTTGGAAAAGCAGGTGTTTGTATAATCAGAGGGGAAAATACTTAAAAGAAAGCATATTTAACAGTTAAGGTAGGTCAGTCGTGAGATTTCCAAGGTAATAACAGTATCTCAGTATCTTTGACTATTATTACTTATGCCATATTCAATTTTCTTCCAACTCAAATTGCATTAAAAAAATAAAAACCAAAGAGAAACAAAACATTTCTCAAGATAAACTGCTCATATATAATTTGTTAACTGTTCTACAGTTGAAGTAATTTGATGACCAGATATTATTTTCATTCTTCTCTCATAATTTTGCAAGAAAATGTTTCAGTATTTATACACATTAAAGAATGGAAGTTCATCATTCTTTAAATTAGATCTATTATCCACAAAGGCACTTATGGTACAAGGAACACAATTCTGGAAATTTATCAGAAAAACAGAGAAACACTGCCAGCTGTAATTCAAAGCAGGATCCCATTTTTAATTTTCAGAACATACGAACATTTACCTTGAACATTCACTGATGTGTTAGGTTTTCCCTTTGACAGGTAACTACTTGTAAGCAGATTTTGTCTGATCTGCCAGCACCATCCCTTCTGCTTGGATGAACACAATCTAAAGCTATGTTTTATATATGGCAACACAGAGGATATGCAATGATAGGCACTCTAACAATATCAACAGAAGAACCCAAGAAGAAGAGTGGCTGGGATTATAAAAGTCATTTTGCTGGGGCACCTGGGTGGCTCAGTTGTTAAGCGTCTGCCTTCAGCTCAGGTCATGATCCCAGGGTCCTGGGATGGAGCCCTGCCTTGGGCTCCCTGCTCGGCTGGAAGCCTACTTCTCCCTCTCCGACTCCCCCTACTTGTGTTCCCTCTCTCGCTGGGTCTCTCTCTGTCAAATAAATGAAAATCTTAAAAAAAAAAGTCATTTTGCTAAAATTAATCATAAAGAGAATTTAAGAGAACAAAATTAGTCAATGGAGAATTCTAATCTCTATTTGTTCAAAATCTAATAAATCTAATACCTATCTTGTATCTAATGGTCACTCTAAGCACTATCAAAAAAAGAATGCAAGTTGCCAGGCCCCACTCCTTCTCCCCTTCAGCTCTCCTTTCATTTGTAAACATTTACCTAAGCACCAAGAGTGCTACCTCATTCCAGTTACTGAACAAGGTGCTGCAGATACAGATGAGTAAGGCAAAGTTTCTGCTAATAAGAAATTAACAGTTGAATGGTGGAAAGCAGGTTCAAAAATTAATTACTATACCACACATTAAATGCCATGACATCTATATGCTCAGGTGTTACTGGGAACATGGAGTAAGAATATACTGAGTAGGAGTTGGAGTGGAAAATTGAAGGGAGGTGGTGGTAGTGGTAGTGGCAGAATACTTAACAAAGTCTTAAAAAATCCACAGGAGTCATTCATATGTAAGAGAGAGATTACAGGCAGAATGGTCAATATGAGCAAAAGCACAAAGAGGAAAAAACTGAAATGCATCAGGTAACAATAAAGTCTAATGTGGCTAGAACAATACATACAGGGCTAGAAACAGTGGGACAGAAGGCTGGAGAAATTGGCCATGGTCAGATCAGGAGGGTCTGGGCTTTATTTTATAGGTAAATGGGAGTCAAAGGAGTGATATGATCAGATTTGATTTTCAGGTAGTTCACTATCACCTTCTAGGTAATGGAATCAAAGGAGTAATTGGTTTTCAGTTAATTCATTTTGGTGGTTGTGTAAAAAAACAGACCTGTTGTGTAAAAAAACAGAAAGGACAAGATGAAAAGCAGAAATAACAGTTACATTTGTATTAATCTAAGTCTAAGATAATGAGGACTGCCAAGACAATACTAAGAAAGATGAAAATAAAATCCAAGGATGAGAAATTTGGATGGGGGAAGGACGGACTCCTCTTAGCTCTCTAGCTCAGGTTCCTGGTGTAGGTAGTGAATATTTTGGACAACTTTATACCAGTAAATTTGAAAAAGATAAAAACCATAACGAAGGAAAACAGATTCAAAAAGAAAGAGAAACACAGAAAGTCCTATAGTATTAAATACAATGAAGCAGTAGTTAGGGGCGCCTGGGTGGCACAGTCAGTTGAGTGTCCAAGTCTTGGTTTCAGCTCAGGTCATGCATGATCTCAGGGTCGTGGGATCAAGCCCTGAGGCAGGCTCCGTGCTCAGTGGGGAGTCTGCTTGGGATTCTCTCTCTCTTTCTCTCTCTCTCTCTCTCTCTCTCCTTCTGCCCCTTACCCACTCGTTCTTTCTCTCTCTCAAAAGTAAAATAAATAAATCTTAAAAAAAAAAAAGTTAAAAAAATCTTCATGACTATCAGGTCCAGATTATTTTAATCACAAATCCTACTAAAGGAGAACTTTGTTCTCCTTTTTCAAGATTGTTTTAGCCACTCAGGGTCCTCTGAGATTCCACATGAATTTTAGGATCGGTGTTTCTATTTCTGCAAAGAACTTTGTTGGGATTATGATAGTAATTTCACTGAATCTGTAGACTGCTTTGAGAAATATTATCACTTTAACAATATTAAGTCTTCCAATCCATGAACACAGAATATATCTTCATTTATTTAAATCTTTTAAAATTTCTTAAGCAATATTTTGTGTCTAGTGTACTTGTCTTAGTTTAGTGTACTGTTTAGTGTACAACTTTTTTACCTTGGTTACATTTATTCCTAAGTATTTTATTCCTTTTGATGTTATTATAATGGAATTGTCTTCTTAATTTTCTTTTTGAATTGTTCATGGTTAGCATGTAGAAATGCAACTGGTTTTTGTGTGTTCATTTTGTATCCTGCAACTTTGCTGTAAAAATATTCTTTTCATCAGGGCACCTGGGTGGCTCAGTGGGTTGGGCATCTGCCTCTGGCTCAGGTCATGATCTCAAGGTCTTGGGATCGCGCCCCACGGCAGGCTCCCTGCTCAGCGGGGGGTCTGCTTATCCCTCTCCCTCCACCTCTCCTCCCCACTTGTGCTCACCTGTGCGTTCTCTCTCTCTCTCGCAGATAAATAAAATCTTTAAAAACTATTCTTTTCATTTACTTAATACTTATTTTAAATGAATAAATTCACATGTTGATATATATGCATTTAAGTAGTAGAGATAGATTTAGTTGCCATGGCATTAATATCTGCTATCCCATCTAAATAAATAAATATTTTTAGTTGATAACTTTTAGAAGGAAGCCAAATGAGGAAGAAATATTTTCTTTATGCCTGGCCTTTTCAGCTTTTGTCATTTGTTGACCAACCTCTCCTCATCCCTTCCCTGAACCTTTTATCTTCTTTGGCCTTGTTCCAATTCTTCTATTTGTCTGACTACTCCTGTCCACTGGCTCATTCTCCCACCTCCAATTTCCTGCTCAATTTGAACATGCCTAAGATTCTGTGCTCATTCCTGTTTTCTTCTCTGTGCATTCCCTTTCTTCAGATTCCTCATTTCCCAAAACTTCACTCATTTCCATTTGACTGACTCCCCTTAATAAGTATACAATAAGCAATACATATATGAAGAACTAAGAACCTCCATCAAACTCTACTAGTTCAGTGAGGAATGAACATTTTCTGAACCACTTCTGTTGGCAGATAGATGAATTTACAGGGAGAAGTAGACAAAACTTTTTCTATCCACCCCTCCTTTTGTCAGGTAATATCTTTAAAGGAGTGGTTAAGCAGGGAGGGAATAGCTTTCATTTTGTTTACCTTTATTTCTCTCTCCAGCATCATTAAAAAGAAAAGGACACATTCTATATATATCTCTCTCAACAATTCAAACACAGAATTTTTGAAAATATGTAATTATTTTAAAAAGAAAAAAACCCTGCAAAATGATTAATGTAAAAATCAACTCACCAATAATGCCGCTATCTCTGCTTTCAAGGGTAGAGGTTGGACTAGTTACAGCCCCATAGTTGCAATCCTTGGCAGTTGCATTTGAACTGACTGGCGGGAGGGTGGAGCAGGGGCTGCTGGCTGGTGGGGAGGCAGTGCTACTAGTCAAGGTGGAACAGGGACTTATCCGTTGCGTGATTGCTGAGGTCTGAAAAATTGGAATGAAAAACAAGATAAACTGATTGCTGTTAAAGTAAACTGTATCTTATGGCAAAACATATGCTTTGATGAGAAAAAGGACAAAATCTACATACATAGCTTTTACATCTACTAGGTACTAGTTGTTTTTTGCCTTCTAGGATAAGAGATTCTGCATCATACAATTAAGGTGCAACTTGATAAATTTAACACAAACAGAGACTGTGGCCGGTTTTTCCACCTAAGAAATTTCTAGTGACAAATATTCTTTATCACTGCTATGAATTCATAGAAGGATTTTTAATTAACTGCAAGTTGTCCTTGCTTTTTCCTATCAATAAAACTATTCTGAAGGCTTAGAACTTAGTCTTGTTAATACTTTTCTTTGGATTGAAAAAAAAAATCTGCAGCCAAGGTGAAATAAAAATAAGGCTCTAATGCAAATAAGCATTTTTTTCGATACATAGGTGGCTGCCCTGAGACATAAATGAATGCAGAGAAAATGCCTTATCCTAAAAGTCTATCTAAAAAATAGATCAAAAACAATGTTCATTTAAAGCAAAACTTAATAATTTCTCTGTAGAAACTGATTATAGGCTGAGATTGCTTTGTATCTTGAATGATTCTTATATCTGAGGTCACCTCAGTTTAGTTTTTGACAGGAAGGAATGAATAATCACCAAAAAGATTGGTGGCAATATATCCTGGCTTCCCTAATTTAATGAAAATCCACTTTTCTTTAGCCCTTTCTACCTAAATAAATTGCCAAAATAATGAATAAAAGTATATATTTTTTTCAAATACTAAAAGAATTTTATCCTTCTTAAAATGGTAAATGATCAGTAACAAAATTACTTGAAGGAAGAATAATGATATAATGGGTATTAAAGAGGGCACGTTCTGCATGGAGCACTAGGTGTTATACACAATCATGGAACACTACATCAAAAACTAATGATGTTATGTATGGTGATTAACAATAAACAAACAAACAAACAAATAAAATAATAAAAGAAACCTTTCAACTTCTTTACCTATAGAGTCACTAGTCACATTCTCTCCACTAAAATTGAAGATTTACATTTAACAACTTGACTGGAAAATGTGTTAATCACTAAATATGAGAAAATTAAGGCTCTTTTACTCATCCTAAAATAAGTTTTAGATACACTCCCTTGTATTTAATCACATGTGTTGAATCCAGTTTTTGATTTTAATTTAAATGCTATAACTAGGTCATAAAAGCTATATTCAACTTAAAGCAAAAGTGACATTCTCAGAACCTTGCAATGAAGCAAATCTTTTCAACCACATTAATAATATTAGGAATTGATTTTTGTTAGTCATACCATAAGCCCTCTGATCTATGCCATTTCTCTTCTACCTACATTTTTTCTCCAGAGGAGGGGGGAGTTTCAATTTCTTTGTAATCTCCTCTATTTTTATAAAATGATGTTGGCCTACCAAAGCAATGAGTTTTAACTGGGCATGTAGTAGAATCACCTATGGAATGTAAAAAAGCAAGCTCCCCAATGCAGAGCCCCACACCCCAGACTTACTGAATTAGAATCCTCCCTAGTTAGAATCTAACATGGCAATTTTTAACCTCCTCACTCTCAGTTTAAAAAAATATGTGGGTAGATGAAATGAACTATACTAGGGTTTTTTTTTTACATTAAATATATCTATAGTCATTCCATATTGAAAAAGTTCCATTTTAGTATGAATCTGAATCTATTACTTCCATAGCAACTCATTTCCATTTTTAGACAAGATTCTCAGTCTGTTCTTTGAGAAAGGAAACTATTATATACATAATACAGCCAATGTGGAGGTTAAGCCCAAAAGACACTATTTTTACTACAAGTTGTTTTCTACAAAATAAAGCTTGTATCACAGAATGTATGCTTTAAAACCTTTAACTGTAAAAGCAAAGCTTAAAGATCAAGCCGTTTAGAAAGGAGAAATTTGCTCATGGCTTATGAATTAAAAAGCAGGCCTCCTCTTTATTTAAGGAAGCTAGTTAATGGGATATAGAAATCTCTTCTAGACACCGAAAGATAACATTAACCATTCTCCATGCTTTAAGCTAAAATGGACCTCTAATTAAACCACACCACTTATAAAATCTTTCAGTGGTTTTTCCATTGTGTTCTCTGGAAGGATCCCAAAGGATCCTTCCTAAAGGTCTCTTAAAGGTTCTACAATTATTCAAGGTAAGAACCTGATGATGGAATTCCTAAAGTATATCCTACCACTCCAGAAATTACCGAGTGAAGAAAATATAGTGGTTGGTTGAATATTACTTTCAGTACTTTGTCTTTTGTAGAAAAACGATACATGTGACTTGCCTGTGCTGGATTCTGTCCTTTCTAGTATAATTCTGAGGATGCTATTACCCTCAGGCCTTCCTAAACAAAGAAATCTACCTTTGTTAGCACGCTGTTTAGTTCGGAAGAAAGTCACCAAACGAACATGACCTCCTAATTCTTAATAACCTTCCTAAGACTAGAAATTCCAATGATCAATTTAGTCACTTCCTTCTGTGGTTCCAAGATAGTTTCATGGTATATTATATTCCCAGAAGGCAATCACTAATAGTATTTTACATTTGTTCAATGCTTTACAGTTTAAAAAAATTTAATATTATTTCATTTACTCCTTTTCAACCAAGTATAAGGCAAATGAGTACTATTTCCCCCATTAAGAAATGTGAATAAGAAACTGCCCTAAAGAATGAAAGCTATCAAATAATTTCCCCAAATCATAGTTCTTGCAATATATTTATATACTAATTATACTGCATAGTATTTTACACCTTTTATTTATATGGCATTTTACAGCTTACAAAGTAATTTCATATTCGTGATTTACCTTGATCCTCACAACAATCCTGTCAGGTATTATTATTTCATATTACACTGAAATGGTATGGTGCAACTGTTAAGAACAGAGGTTGTAAAAGCAGACTGTCTGGATTTGAATACTATTCCATCACTTTGTGGCACTGTGTTTCCACTTTTTTATCTGAAATCTGGAATATCGATGGACCCTACCACACTGGGGTATAAGGAAGCTTAAGCAAAATAGTACAAATAAAACAATTAGTACAACGATTAGCATGTAGGAAGCATTTCATAAATGTCAGCTGTTATTACCTATGAAAAACCTAAAGCTCAGAGAGGTTAAGTGAATGTCTGATTTTACAAAGTCATACGGGGTAGAATTGGAAGTAGGGCACAGATTTTCTACTTCCTCGTTCAGGGACTTTTCTCTTTCTTTCTTTTTTTTAATTGAAGTAGTTTATGTTATACTCTGCTCACCACAAATGTAAGTGACTTTTCTATTATTAGAAACAACAGGATCTTTGGCAAATACTCATACTGTAACATCATGTTCCTTGGTCATCACTAGAATAGTCACATTTTAACTTTACATGAATATCAAGAAATAAAAAGTAAAAAATAAAAATGGATGTTTTACTTATACCAATATCAAAAAGGCCCTCAGCATATATCATTCCCATTTTTTTATTCACAGGGCATAGCATACCAACACAGTTACTGATTAAAAAAAAAAAACCATCAATCCCTGCCATCATGAAGCTTACACTCTTGTATGAGATACAGACAAGAAAACAAAAACAAAAACTCACAACTAAATATGGAGTGCAATAAATTAATGGTTAAGAGTTATAAAGGAAATAAAGCAGCAGTATAAGGGGGTATAGAGGTGGGCAGTGGCTATTAGAAACAGCAGTTAAGGAAGGCTTCCCGGAACATCTGAGCAGAGCACTGAATGAAGTGAGCAAGTGAGTTATGCGGGAAGCGCTTTCCAGTACTAAAGGAATGTTCTGTGTCAGAGGAACGACAGAAGGTCAGTGTCACTGCAGAGCTGCAGGTGAAAGGGAGGGGGGTAGGCAGTGTAGGAGAGGTAGTAGCAAGGGGTCAGACCAGGCAGTGCCTTTCTGACCATGCTAAAGATTTCAGATTTAATTCTAAATGTGATGAGAAAACAGTGGAAGATTGAGAGCACAGAAGCAAAAAGATCAGATCCATATTTTACAAGGATCACTCTGGTTACTGTGTGAACAGACTACAGAGGAGCAAGAGTGGAAGCAGAGACCTATGAGGAGGCTATTTATTCATTCAGTAAATATTTACTGAGCACCTACCAATGCTAGACCCTATTCTAGATGCAGAGGATATGGCAGTAGCGAGAACAGGCAAAAGTTCCAGGCCTTACAGTCCAGTAACCATTGCAGTAGCCCGGACAAGAGAGGACAGTGACGTGGACTCAGGTGTAGCCGTGGAAGTAAAGAGAAGGGAGCAGATTCAGAATATACTTTGCAGACAAAGCCTATACGATTTGCTGAAAGAGTGAATGTGTAATCTGACAGAGAAAACTCAAGAATGGCTCCAATGCTTTTGTCCAAAGCACGAAGGTGATACAAACTACTCTGAGAGAAAACACTGCAGAAGGAGCAGGTTCTGGGAAAAAAATGTAAGGCTTCAGTTTTTGACATGTTAGGTTTGAGCTGCATCTTGGACACACACGTAGCAAAGGGAGTAGCTGGAAATATACTGGAGTTCAGGGGAAAGGCAGGGCCAGAGGCAATTCAGGAGTTAAGAGTATTTAAAAAAAAAAGAACGGAGGAGTTTCAATATGATTAGAATCTCCAGGCATCTGAATTCTATAAAAACTGTAATTATAATGTGATTATAATGTGCAGCCAGCAAAACCAATGACTGAGGGAATGAGGATGTAGAGAAGTCTCAGGAGAAAGCTCCAGAACACCTGAACATTATCCACATGATCTATAAATATGTCCAAATAATCCTTGAAGACTATTATTTTATGACAAAACTAACATAGGATATAGAATCTTCACAAATATTTGTTAAGAATAGACAAAACGAACTCAAATTGTCATCTTCTAGAATAAAAGGATTCACTACAGGACATACATTTTAAAGATGAAGACCACACAAATGAATTTGAGTCTACTTCCTTTGCTACATTTAAACTAAAAAATAGCTAAAAGAAAGAAAAATCTATGAAAGAAAATTTTTTTCAAATTGTTGATAATTTTTAACTTGACATGAATATTTAGATAATTTTTCAGATTTTCATTTTTCTAATATATATATTCAAAACTAAAAATTTTGGGGGCGTTTGGGTGGCTCAACCGGTTAAGCGTCTGCCTTCGGCTCACGTCATGATCCTGGGGTCCTGGGATTGAGCCCTACACTGGGCTCCCTGCTCCGCAGTAAGCCTGCTTCTCCCTCTCCCACTCTCCCTGCTTGTGTTCCCTCTCTCACTGTGTCTCTGTCAAATAAATAAAATCTTAAAAAAAAAAAACTAAAAATTTTTGAGTACCTCTTTAACTCTAAGTTTTATATACTACAAATACATACTATAAATTGTTATATTTCGTTATTATTTCAGTTTAAAATATTTTCTAATTTCTTGTGATTTCTTTTTTGACTGAAAGGCTATTTAGAAGTTTATTAATAGCCAAACATTTGGGGGATTTTCTAAATTACCTTGTAGTTAACATTTTCAAGGTTATCATTTTGTAATTGATTAATTCTACTATGATCACAGTAGTTGTAATCCGAAATTTACTGAGACCTGGTCAGCATATTGTCAATTTGGTAAATAATCCACATGTACTTGAAAATGATGTATATTCTATAATTTCTGGGTACAGTGCCCATATAAATGTCAATTCTGTTTCTTGGCTTATGCATTATTTACTTCCTCATTCATTCCATAAATGAATCAAAACTTTAAAGTGGCCTTTTAAACCTAAGAATGAAACTAAAAGGTGTTTCATAAACTAAAGAAATACAGTGATGATGGAAAATTAAGCTATATCTTCAGGCCTCAAAAGTTATTCAACAACTGGGATACGCACATACACACACCCTGCAACATTTTTCCTGTATAATATAGGCTGATTTATTCCACGTTTCGCAGGTGACAGCAAGCAGTTTACCTGATTTTCATCCTGTACTTCCATGGTGTATTGGTCACCTGGCTGAACTTCCGTCACTTTCTCTCCAAGGAGGAAACCCAGACGAGTCATGAGTGTGTTTGCTGCTTCATCTACAGATGGAGGGGGACCAAGTTCCTGTTCAGCATCACCTATAACAGGCAGACATTGAAACACATGAATCTTTCAAAATAAAATGGCCTTGTCCTGCAACTATTCTTACATTGAATTTGGTCATTCCCTTCATTTTCATTCTAAATCCAAAATTACCAGATCCCTGCCTAGAAGCTGATTTTCCCACTTTTGCATATTATAATTGATATATCGTTTACTCGGATTATCCTCAATGTATCTACTTGAAACCTGGGTTTGAGAGAATGTTTGTAATTTACTGAATAGAAGATGTTTCCTATTTCTTTTGCAGTTAGGTTTCCAATTCAGTCCTGGTCTTGGGACATGGCTCCTGCCACAATCCCCACCTTCATTCAGGTTCTTTTATCTTTTTCTTTTCTCTTAAAGTTTGTGTAAATATTCTTTTTTCAAAAGATTTTTTTGTTTTTTGTTTTTTAAGATTTTATTTATTTGACAGAGAGAGACACAGCGAGAGAAGGAACACAAGCAGGGGGAGTGGGAGAGGGAGAAGCAGGCTTCCCGCGGAGCAGGGAGCCCGATGTGGGGCTCGATCCCAGGACCCTGGGACCATGACCTGAGCTGAAGGTAGATGCTTAACGACTGAGCCACTCAGGTGCCCCTCTTTTTTCAAAAGATTTTGAAATTAGTTCAAACTTATAAAAAAGTTTCAAGAATAGTATAAAGAACATTTTTTTCCCTTAACCTTTGAAAGTATAAACATGATGTCCCATCATCCCCAGTTAGAGTCCTATAAACAAGGACATTCTCATACATAATGACAGCAACAGCACAGACCTCAGAAAACTAACATTTGGCATTATTATGATCACACCCACGGATCCCATTTAAGTTTTGTCCCAGTAATGTGCTTTCTAGCAAAAGGATCCATTTCAGGGTTAGGCAGTGCATTTCATTCTCAGTTCTCTTTTATCTCTTTTAATTTGGAACAGCTCATCAGTCTTTTCTTAACTTTCATGACCTTGACACTTCTGAAGATTATAGGCCAGTTGTTTTGCACAATGTCCCTCAATTCGAATTTATCTCCTGTTACCTTATGATTTGACTTAAGTTATGCATTTTTGGCAGGACTATCACAAAAGTGATGCTGTTAACTTAGATCACTTTGTTATAGTAGTGTTTGCTAGATTTTGTGGCTCTAAAATTACACTTTTTCCCTTTGTAATTAATAAGTATGTTGTGGAGGGACATTTTGGGTCTGTGTAAATACATCCTACTTCTCAACAAATTTTTAAATTAAAAAAATATGTTTGCAATAAAATATATATACCAAGATTTTCCATTTTAACCATTTTTACATGTACAATTCAGTGGCATTAAGTTCATTCACAGTGCTGTATGGCCACTGCCACTGTCCATTTCCAGAACTTTTTCATCTTCCCCCAAAGAAACTCTGTACCCATTAAATAAAAACTTCCCATTCCCCCCTCTTACTAGCCCCAGCTAATCTCTATCCTATTTTCTCTATGAATTTGCCTATTCTCGGTACCATATAAGTGGAACCACACAATATTTGTCTTTTTATGTCTTGCCTATCTGACTTTGCGCATGTTTTCAAGGGTCATCCATGTTGTAGCATGCATCAGAATTTCATTCCTTTTTATGAATAAATAATATTCCATTGTATGTATATTGCCATAGTTTATTCAACTGATGTTGCAGACTTGGGGGTTGTTTCCATCTGTTGGATATTATGAATAATGATAGTATGGACACTGTTAGTGTAAAATTATCAGTCTGACTCTCTCCTCAATGAAATTTTGCCCACTGTCTTTTAGCATTCACTAATGTTTCTTGGTTGAACTAATTACTACCATGCCAAATAGTGTTTTTTCTAAACCCATCATTCTTTCTACAGCTTAGTTTCTTTTCCTTATCTATTTATCTGAACTCAGTGATTCCTATATATTCAATGAGTTATAATCTGTTACTATCATTATTTATGTTGTTGTTTCAACTGTCCCAGATTTGGCCAGGGTAAGCCCTTTCAGTTTGGCTCTTGTAACCTTTTGACACACCTGTGTCATCTTCTGAGCATTTCTTTTCTTTGGGAAAGTAAGAGATGTTCCAGGCTTATCTTTTACTTCCCCTGCCCTAGCCGTAGAATCAGATGCTTTTCCAAGAAGCCCTGGTTCTTTTTAGTGGGGAAAGGCATTTAGAATATCATATATGCTCACTGCTTTTAGGATGCTACTGTCCTCCAGGTCCACTGGGACAGAGGCAGGCAGTATAATCATGCACATACATACATATATACATATATACAACAGTCACATATCCTTATATTCATTTGTAAATCTGTACACAAACACACCCCCCAAAAGTTCCTGGTGATGCTCTAATTCCAATTTAGTACCATAAGGTTAATTCTAGGTTTTATTTTTCCCCAAACTTTTTTTTCCCAAAGTTGTAAACTTGTTCTCCAACAGTAAGACATCTCTCACTATCCTTACTTAATCTGTTCCACCTTCAAATACAATGTCACTGCTGCTCACTGCCACCCTGCACACAAATGCTCTACTCCCCCTGCTTGGGGTCCTACCCCATGCCACATGAGCCCAACTAGCACTTCCCCCACAGTGAGGGTCATTTTTTTTTTTTTAAAGAGAGAGCGAGCATGCGCACACATAAGAGTGGGGGGTAGGGACAGAGGGAGAGAGAATCCCAAGCAGACTCCCCATTGAGCACAGAGACTGATGCGGGGCTCAAACCCATGACCCATGAGATCATGACCCGAGCCGAAATCAGAGTCAGATGCTTAACCAACTGAGCCACCCAGGTGCCCCCAGGGTCATTTTTTAAAAATTGATATATAATTCACATACCACAAACTCTATCCTCTTTAAGTGTATAATTCAGTGGCTTTTAGTATATTCATAAGGTTATGCAACCACCATCACTTTCTAATACCAGAATATTTTAATCACTCCAAAAAGAAACCCCATTAAAGTTCATTTTTGCCCTGAAATTTAGACCCCCCCCAATTTCTGATCGCTGGTATTCATTTTAATCCTCTGTCTCCAGACTGCTACATTCTTTTCATACAATTTGCTTTTTAGGTTCTTTTTCTATTTAGGCTATTTTTCAGTGGTCACCAACTATAGGAATTAATTCTTTTTCAAATTCACTGAGGGACGCTAAACAAAGTCAGTATTAGGTTTTTCCTTGGACTCACCATCAAGATAAATTTCTTTCCAAAGAGAGAATTTATAATTGCTTCTTAGCCTTTGGCTAAGCTCAAGTGCAAATAGAGAACAAAAAGGAGTCAGGGAACATAGTATGATCTACTCTAAATGTAATGTAGAAATAATTTATTTAAATTGCCTGTTTACAGTAACTTGATTCACGGTCAACATTTTTTCAGATTTTGTTTTCATTCAGATACATTTAGTCTAACTTTATAAAAATCCACAATGGCACAGATCCTATAGGACATTACAAAAATCTTTTTTTTGGAGAGAGACATGTCCTGTCAACGCAGTAAGCATTAGCTATAATATCATATGGTTCAATGTCAAAATTTAATAGCTTCTTAAGTTTTTAGGATATTCAGTCTTAAACATTAAACCACTCCATGATGGCAAGAAAGTGTGATTTACCTTGTTATTATTCAGTTTACACTTACATTTATATTATCTACTAAAGTTATAAGCTAGGGGTCAGAGGAAGGGACTATATGTGTATTTTTGTACACTATTATTGAACTCAAGTGTCCCATCTGTGGAAAATCTATATAGAACTTTCATTGAATTTATGTCGGAGTAGAAAAACGGTCTCTATTTTCTCTTCCCTATGTCCTCTCCGAGAGTCAACAAAAATAGATTTCTCTGCCACAGAACAGATATAATAGAATCAATAGGGTTTTTTTTTTTTAAGATTTTATTTTATTTATTTGACAGAGAGAGAGACAGCGAGAGAGGGAACACAAGCAGGGGGAGTGGGAGAGGGAGAAGCAGGCTTCCCGCCGAGCAGGGAGTCCGGTGCGGGGCTCGATCCCAGGACCCTGGGATCATGACTGAAGGCAGACGCTTAACGACTGAGCCACTCAGGCGCCCCAATAGGGTTATTTTTATTCACAAATATTTTTTAAGTTTACATGGTCCTTGCTGCCCCCCACCCCGAGAATGAAAGCTTCTTATTCCTTAATAAAAAGGTAACTGCTATATTCAAATTGATGAATTACCCTTTTCCCCTTCTATAGATTAAACTAGCTAAGGTTTTCCAAATTCTTCTTAGCATAGATTCCTGACCTCTAGATATTCTGAGGCTCCATTTCATTTTCTTCTAGGAGGCTATTCTGATGATTACCAAGTATTTTCTATGTACTAGGTACTATGAGGATTTATATAACGTGGAGAAGGTACAGTCATTGACTTTAAAAAGTTTATAATCTGTGGAAAATAAGACATTAGATTATATGATTCATTTATTTAACATATGGTGCTTATGTACAAGTCATTGAACACTTTACAAATATTAACTTACTTAGTTTTTATAACAACTTTATGAAATAGGTATTATTACACTCATTTTACAGATAAGAAAACTTAAGCACAAGCAATAAATGGCAGAGCCAGGTTTAGAACCCAGGCTCCCTGCCTCCAGAATCAATGCTCCCAACTAGTATGTTATACGGCTCCCTCACTGGAAAGTAATATTATAAATAGTGAGAATGTCTACATAAGAGACAACTTATTTACAGGCATATTGCTTATATGTGATACTGTGATATAATGAGAAATACATATCTGGTCCTTGTTCCCAGTTGTTGGAACAGGGTTCCTGAACTCTTAGAATTTCCTGAGTGACTGGTGAGAGAAGCATCTTTTGTTTTTCATAACCCCTTTTGAGGTGACTCTTAGTGGGCCACTAAACAGCTGTGGGATGGAGGCTAGTTACCAGAGAACCAACCATGTTATTAGAAGGTTGGAACTTTCACCCCACTCCCCAACCTACAGGGAGGGGAAAAGGGGCTGAAGTTGAGTTAATCAGCCATGGCCAG